CAGGAGTGCAGTGGCTTTTGGGGCTTCAGTGGCCGTTGCATACTTTCGTGCACAAGCAGTGTCGAACATCCTTGCGCTCCAGCACGTAGCATGCCCCCACAGCATTGCCACTATTCGCCTAACTATGCAAAACTGTGCTTATTGATGACTGAATGGTGTCACGGGGTGTCCTGGGGTGTCACGGGGTTGAAGGAGTTGGAAAAGCAGCTAGAAAACGCTGCAGAGGTGGCAACGGGCAGTGTTGCAAGGGGCACAGGCAGGGCAGTGCAGTGGTGGCACCAGGTTGCAGCGCACTTATCTCTGGGACATTTTTTTTTTGTCACTGCACTGGCCCTGCTTCAAGGCTCATCTCTCTCCCTCTCTCCTCTCTCTCTCTTTTGCTCATTATTCTCCTCGCTACCTCCTTCTGTTTCATTTCAGAACCACAATCGATCCATAACGCTAACAAATAATCACCAAAGAGTCCACTTTGCTTGGAATTCAAAATCATTTAAGGCCCATTAAGAACCCATTTTTTTAAAGTATTTTTCTGGTACTATTATAGTTTAGTATGTATATGTATATCATAATATTTGGTACTATGTTTGCTTAGTTTACTATTTGTATTTTTTAAGTATTTTCTGGTATTTTCTACGAATTAATTTTTGAATATATTTGGCTTGCACTTACTGATTAAGGTTGCGCTCGTTGGAGCCGGACTGACTCTGGACGTTTTCCGTGTGGCGTCGCTCCTTGTGCACGATGCCCATCAGCTTCATCCATGGATTGTTCTGGGAGCCATGGCCTCCCATGCCGCCACTCTGCCACATAGTCATCTTGGCGGCTCTCTTTGCACTCTGACTGTGGCAGTGGTAGCAGCTTTAACAGCAGCTTTAACCTCCAATCAAAACAAGACGAACAACAACACAAACACACACACCACAAAAATTATAAAAATCACTCGCGATTTTGTCTGTTGTTGTCGCTGTTGTTGTGGGTGTCGGAGTTGGGGTTTTGGGTCTGGATCTGGATCTGGATCTGGGTCGGGCACTTTTCTGAACGAAGAGGAAACCTGTCAGCTCCAATATCCTGTATCCAGTTGCTGTTCTGGAGTAAGGGAAATGTTATTCAGCGATCCGCATTCCGAATATTCGCTTTGCTTCCTTAGCTTTCTGTTCGATTTGGATGGAATTGAACTTTGAATTGTTGTTGCTGTTGCTGTTGCTTTTGTTGCTGTTGTTGTCCTTTTGGGCGGCTGGCGTTGCTATTGCATACTCTTTTTTTACTCATTTTCCTACAGCAGCCTTTGGTCGTTTTCTTATCTCTTTTTAGGCTGCTGCTCCTCCTAGTCGTAGCTCTCTCTCTCTCTCTATATCGCTCGCTTGATACTGCCTGAACCTTCCTGCTTTATACTGCTCTATCATGCATTTTCCTTGCTTAATATCATTCTTATTACTTTTGAGGGATTATGGATGCTCTTTAGTTTCCTCCTTTCCTTTCCTTTACTTTCCTTTATTTTATTTTCCTTTTGTTTTGTTTCTTGTTGAGATTTTTCTTCTCTTGGCCTAATGTCTAAAATTAAGAATCACAATGGGCGTTTTCATCCTCTCCTTAAGGGTTTTTGTTTTTGTTTTTTCAGCGAAATTTCTTTTCAATTTTAATTCTAATTATTGTTTCGTCTTGGTTACAATTTTGTAGGCAAAAGTTATCCTTCTTTGTTCCTTTGCTTTCGTCTCTCGGCTCGGCTTCTTTTTGCTTTTGCTTGTATAATTTATCTTCTAGCTAAATTTATCCTTGGCCAAATGTTCTGTCGCAAGGGTTGGATGTCCCGATAGCGTTGATAGTAGCCCCCGATAGTCGAGTGCACTCGATTATTTGATACCCGGTACGGTAATCTCTTTCTCTCTCTCTCTCTCTCGCTCTCTACCTCGCTCGCTCTCTACCTCTCGTAGCGAGAGCTTTGATTGGTGCAAAAAGTCAAAGTGGCAGCACCTTTGCAGTATTGGACAGTGCTGCTGCCCCTCCCCCCACCACACTAGTGTTGGTTAATGGTCAGTGTTGGCAGTTGGCAGTTGGCCGTTAGATTACGATTACTTCTACTGTTCAGCATAGATCAATGCATCAATACCATTTATGGGGCACACAGAAAGGACATGTCCGTGCCACACTCTATCTGTGTTATTTCTGACGTTCCAAATCTATAATTTATAGCAATGTATATAGCATATATTTTTGAATGCTCTTCTCTTCTTGTACCGGGTATATGCCCAATTTTTGCCAGATCTATTTACTATTTATGGTCATATGTATGTTTGTTGGTTTGTTTGTTGGTTTGTTTTGCTGAACGGCAACCGTGAAGTGTTTATATGTTTTATTGAGATTGCTTTTCGGTTGGTTTTGTAGCTATAGTTTTGCAGTTGTATCCTTGTAGCCATGCAGCCTTTTAGTTGATTCTTCATAGGATAGGAAAGGCGGTTAAACGACGATATGAGAGTTTGCGTGTACAGACAGCTGCGGAAGACAAGACAAGAAATGGCATATCAGAAGAGAATAATCGTAAATTATTTTTAATACTTTGAAGAAGAGTAAATTTTGTCATATTTATAAGTAATATTTATAAATAAATCTGTAAGTATACATATATCAGTGACTGTTGGGACTATTAATCCGAAAGAACTATAATTTTTAATTTTTTTAATACAAATTATGATACACAAATTATTCTTTTATTTATTTTTTTTTGAGCATATGTCTTTTAATGAAAAAATTGTGACAGATCACAAATACAGATATATAGTTTTCGATCAACATTTTTAATTCAACATTTGTTCATGTTTTATGACATGTTAAATTTGTAATAATAATTTGTATAATTATTTGTTTAATCCATTTGAATTCTAAAAATTTAAAAATGATTAAGTATGTAAAAGAAAAGAGTATTCACGGATACCTGTTGAAATTATTTATTATACACCTGCAATGCCAGTTTTATCGATTTTGATTTTGTTTTTAAACTCATTACTATTTATTAAGTTTTTCCTGTATTTAGGATTTTAGTCATATATGTACATATACAATAAATACATACTTAAATGCGACATTGGCTGCACAAAGAGCTCCAAGCCCAAGGCCAAGCAACATTTATTTGCCTCCATAGCGGAGGAGGGATTATTGAATGGCATTTAATTAATGTCTGTCGTACAATTAGTAAAATTCTAGCAAATAGCCGTCATGTACATGACTTTGTATCAATTCAATCACAATTATTTGAGGCACCTCTGCACAGGCATCAAGTAAAAGTACAAGCAGCCCTTGAGGACAGCCACAAATGCACACAAAATGCCCCATCCAAGTGACTGGACAAAGGACTCTCCATCAGTTCAATTATGTCAACGATTTCTGATCATCTACCCGAAACGAGAATAATCATTCCGAATGGCTTATGGGAATGTCTTAATATATTTGCACTTTTCGATTTGCCCCAAGGGGACAGAGACGGCGACAGAGACGGCGACAGAGACACAGACGACGACTCCACGACACCTATGAAACCCACAATACGAACAGGCAGCCACCAGCGGCGTTAAGCAGTTGTTCTCTCTGCCAAATCTGACAGCGAACATGAAAGGAGGGGGTTGTCGGTCGTCGGTCGTCGGTCGTCTGATAAGTACTCGGAGAAGGACAGGATGAGGGACTGGAGCGTGTGCACATTTGCAATGCCATCAACGTCGCTGTGAGCGCATTAAGAAACCATTCCGGCTCGCCTCACTCTGCCACTGCCACTACCACTACCACTGGCTGTGGCACTGTGAAACTGTGACGCTGTCGCACGGTGGCACTCATCCTGCCATCGCCATCGTCTGCCTCCCACTGGGACGCTGGCTGTCATAGCCCCCAGTCATTCTCATCCAGTTGGACAGCAGATATAACCCATCCCCCCCCACCAGAATGCATAATTATAAAATCGAAAATGGTAATGGGGAAAATGAGGCCCAAGCCCAGTCCCAGGCCCTGCCTGAAAACGGTTGCAGCTCGATGACAACGTCAACACTTGGTCCCAAGTCCAACACACAGAGACACAGACAGACACACAGAGCAATTAATAATCGCAACACTCTCAGCTCTCTGTCTGTGTGTGGGAGCCGCATTGATTGTCGCCTAGAAGGCATTACAGGCAGGCCAAAAACGAAATGCAGGCAAGCCGATCCAGGACTCGGGGTGACCAAAATCAGCTCCAGAGCCATGAGCTATGAGCCATGAGCCATAACAGCAGCAGCAGCATCTGTTGGCCAATACCAAGACCAGCAGCAGCAGCAGCAATTTGTCAGGCAGCAACCCAAAAAAAAAAGGGAAAAAAAACAAAAAAAAAACAGAAAAAAACACCATAAAATACATGGAAAATGTAATAAATGAAAATGAATTGGAGCACGCTTGAGGAGAGCGAATAAATTGTATTGCATGTGCTTAACCCGCGAATGTGTTGGCTGGGATATTTTCATGACATAAAACCATGGGATAATGGCACCATCCTGGCACTCGAAATCTCTTTCAGCCACTGCTTCTGCAGCTCTAAGCCGAAAGTCTTTTAACTGTGAGACTGACTTCTCAGTTTAAGTATTTATTTTAGATTTTTCCAGCTCTATTTTACGATATATACGAACTCTTTTTGCCTGTTATTCACTCATTCCTATTCACATTCGTAGGCACTCGCCTCTCCTGCAGTACAGCCTATGAGCATTTGCCGCCTGTGCTCTATGCTGCCTTTGATTCTCTGATTGGGAAACATTCATATATTACCATCATAAAACTGCAAGGAAAAAACTTCTACTCTGGGCCAACAATCGGCCCTAGGCAATCCAACACCAAAGTCTGCTCAAGGGTTAAACGGGTGAAGACTGCCAGAGGCACAGCCTCAGCCTCAGCTGCCGGTTTCTCACTCAGTCACCCTGTGTATTCGGAGGACTTCCATTCACCAATTTTGTCAGACAGCAAAGTTCACTCGAGCGTGTGGCATTCAGGAGATGGATACCAAAGATGGTGGCCTGGCATGGTGTGGCGTGGCGGATGGGTGGTGCGGTGCGGTGCGGTGTGCGGGTGACTGGTGCAAGATTCTAAAGACCATCACCACCGCTGACAAGCACCACCATTGTGTGGTAGTTTGCTGCTGCTGGTTGTTTGCTGCTGCAACTTGTGACACACTTTGTTGCCTGTCGCCTGTCGCTTGTACCCTGCCAACGAACGCTTCAGCACAGCGATCTGTCAACGTCAACGGTGCGTATGATATATATTTATTGTGCACCACTTGCCCAGCCCCAGCCCCATCCCCATCACCATACCAGTCCCCAATCCCAATCCTTCGAGTACTTAGTCCCAATCCAGCAGCAGCAGCAGCAGCAGCAGCTCCCGACTGCAGCTTATGCTGCTGGAGGACTTTATTGGCATGACAACCAATGCCAAGGCCAATGCCATACAATTTCTATAATTTTTGCACAAATTATGACGCATTATATGACACGCGGCACCCTCCATTTCCATTTGCAGCTGCCACGCGCAAAGTATTAAATGCTCGACATATCCCAGGGGTCTGCCACGGATGGGGATTCCTCCCACATGAAAAAGTTACAGGTGCAGGTGCAGGTGCTGACCTTCCCACACACCTAATTACGCGTACAGTCAGGCAAGATTTAATGCCCATTAAATTGATATGTCAAAGGACCTTTTGCAATTATCCCTGCGAACGGGCGCCAGCCAAGTTCAAGTCCTTTGATCCAAGCATTTAAAATTGGCCTGGCAATTAAGTAAGCGACGTCGTTGTCAATCGGACACCTCATGAAGCAACGCTGCCAGGAAAATCCCTGAATCATTTCTAAATATTACCCCATATGTGGGGGGTAAGATAAGAGCTAAGAGAAAACTTTGGCCCACAGTCGAGACAGAAGAGGGTCTCTGGGAAAAAGCAAAGGCAGCGAAATTTGAAAGTTTTAAGCTGTTGACAAGGATAGAGGAGAGGAGCGGGGAGGAAAGGCAAGGCAAGGAATGGCTTGATGAAGCAAAAGGTATGCCAGTGGCAAAGGTAAATAAAAGCCAAGGGATAGAGTCTCAGGCAAAGAGTCTGGCAATAGTGCAACCGAATATGCTGGCATCAAAGTTCAACCCAAAAAGAGTTTACACTTTCAGCCAATTAACGTTCAAAACGGTTGGACAGAGGGACATCGCCAACAGGAGGAGGAATATTACACATAAGAATGCCAAGGAAAATCCACAAGAATCTTTTTATTGATTTTATTTAGAGATTCAGAGAATATGGCAAGTCTTTTTGTATTTTTTTTTTTATCGGAAAGCGGAAACATTTAATTTATTTTATGGAGCCTGCCGAAGCCCTGCCCCAAGCCCCCCCCCCCTGCCGAAGCCCTGCCGAAGCCCTGCCGCTTGGGGCTGAAAGCATTCCATGCCCATCTTTCGGTGTATGGCCAGGAGAGGCATGGCATAATATATTAACCATAGATTAAGCATCTGTAGGCACTTTGACGCTTAAGTGGGAGACATCTGGGAGACGCCAGATGCCACCACATGGGATCCAGCTGTGGGCCAGGGATCATCTGTTGCCTCTGGTGTTGCAGCATCACCTTGCGACGTGCGACACGCAAATCCGGCCACCTGCTCGACACATAGCTCGAGGGGACAGCACACATTTTTGGCCGGCACTAAGCTCTCGTTGAATATTTAATTAAGGAAATTATGGCAGCTGGCAGCTGGCCGCAGAGGGATGACAGTCGCCACAGTCCAAACGTTGCCCGGGCAACGACAGAAACAACAGGTAACTATGAAGGGCGGTTGAATCAATAAGAAATAAGGGGCAGTGGGCAAGGTAACAAAAGAGGGAGAGGGAGCGACGCTCCTCAGGCAGCGCACCATTTACCATTCGCTGGAGAGGACCACGACAAGATGGTAAGTCAAATCCTCACTCGGGGAATTAATCACGAGCATGCTGAATTATATTATGCCCACCCCCTATAGCCACCAAAGAAAAAGCTTTCCAAGAAGGAGAAGGCCCGTCTGGAGGCCGAGCAGGCGGAGCTGCTGCGCATCGAAATGGAAAAGGAAAAGTGTGTGAGCTTCCTTCCAGGCACATCATTTGGCATCATTACTCCTAAGCTGTGATTATCCCCACCCCCCCTCGCAGACTTAAGAAACTGGAGGAGGCGCGCCAGCGCAAAAAACTGGAAATGGAACAGGCAAAGCATCGCCAGCAGCAGGAGGTGGCCGAGAATCGTCTGCGTCGGACACAGCTGAAGGACAGCATGCTCTTCTTTGAGGCAGTGCGTACGGCGATTGAGGCCATCAAGGATGGCGAGCGGCACGAGCGCGACTGGGAGAAGTTCATGCGCTGCAATGGGCTGCCGAATGCAGCCAGTCCGAGCGATCTGCGCAAGTACATCCATCAGTGGCACGCGGACATTGCCCAGCGGCACAGGGAGGCGCGCAACTGGCTGCTGCGCACAGACGAGCGAACGCTACTCACACAGGATGCCCAGGTGGCGGATCTGACGCGCATCTCGCTGCGCCAGCAGCAGGGACGGCTGGGCGATGTCTATGCCCATCGCATCAAGGAGGTGCTTGGGGTGAGTACCCACTGTACACAGTGCTGCACTGTACTGCACTGTACTGCACACACGCACACAGATTCTCAGCGAGCTGGATGAGGCGTTGCCCTTCAGGCAGCGTTCGGTGCATGTGGCAGAGGATCTGGCCAAGCTCAAGACGGAGATGCGGGTGTTTCTGCGGCAGCATCTGGACGAGTTTACCTACAAGACAATGTCCCACATTGAGCGGGACATGGAGTGAGTATATTCGATATACGATATACGATATCCGATAAGTTCAGCCAGTCGAGCCAGTCCATTCCATTACCCACAGAATCGATAGACCGGGCGTCTCAAAGCACATCTACAGCTCGGATGTCTTTCAGAGCTTTGTGTGGACCTTCTCCAAGGATGCCCAAATGTAAGTGTCAGTCTGATCGATGCCCCAACCCCATTTGCTTGACGCTTTTTGCTTTTCTTCTTTGCACTGCCCGACAGTGCCCTCAATCCCAAGGCACGCATTGGGGAGCAGTCGGGCCACAATGAGATCGATTTCCCAACCATTGAAATGCAAATTTCACTGCCCCCGACAGTGCAGCTGCAGAGCTCGGCGCTGCGCGGCCTGTGGCTCAATTATGATCACTTCAGTGACTACTGCAGCAGCTATCAACTGCGGCATGCCCGCTCCGAGAATGCCAGTATGTAGGAGGAATACCCGAAGCAATGTCGATAGCTGTAACCTATTCCCCTTTGCATACAGATATTCTGCGGCAGACGAAGCGCGAGTGGCGCAAACGCAAGGAGATCCTGCAGGCGATGCTGGACGAGTGCGGCAGGGACATTCCGCTGTCGGAGCTGGAGCAGCTCACCCAGGAACAGCACTCGGCCAGCTCACAGCCGCAGCGGGAGCGCGTCTACGATGTGGACAAGCTGTATGCGGAATACGAGGATGAGCTGAGTCGTGCCCATCGCCGGGCCATCGGCCCCGAGGCCTATGGCATGCTCGAGACGGATGTGAATCTGCGCCGATACCGCATCATTGGCGGCGTCTACTGCATCGATTTCCTCGAGACGCCGCAGCAGGACAAGCAGCTCAATGCGCGCTCCTTCATACGAACAAGTACGCTAAAGAGATTCCCTTTGAGGTTCCCCTTGACTTTGCTCTGATGCTCCACTCTCCACTCCCATTGGCAGTTAGTTGTGCCAACAGCTTGGTGCTCAAGGAATACTATCAGACCTACAAGCCGCCGCCGCCTGTGCTGCCCGGCGTGCGACGACTGCCCGAGGAAATTGAGGCTGAGATGCGGATGATCGAGTCGGCGCTGGACAAGCTGGCGCTGGTCACGCTGCAGTGGGTTCCCCCCGCTCCCATCTCGCCAACAAGTCTCTCATTTACTCTCTTTAAAAAAGGTTGCCCGATTCTGTGATTTGGTTCGAGCCTCCGGTCGCTTGCCGCTGGGAGACGCACATCGAGACACTCGAAATGGAGCTGGCGGATGGCATGAAACCGGTGCCGCCTGCCCCAGCGGATGCGGCAGCTGCCACCACGGCGACGCCCACAGAGGCGACGCCCCTCTCGACCAACGCCCAGCCGAGTCCGCTGAAGAGTTCGCCCCGTTGTCCGGCCGCCCGCCTGCGGCCCCACAAGTCCACGTCGCACCCACAGCAGACGCTGCGCGAGATCACGGACTTTGACCTGAGGGCCATACCCAGCGACGTGGACCTGTACGGGCTGGTCAAGGAGTTTGTGGTGCCGCGGCTGCCGCAGGGCTTCTGCGTGCGTCTCGAGGCGACCACCCCGGCGGAGTCGGCCACGGGCATGGGCTCGGGTCTGCGCCGCCGCAGGGTGATGTTCCTCGCCCGCCAGACGCACGTGCGACTGGGTCAGGGTCTGGGTCATGGCACAGCAGGCGGAGTCGAGGCTGAGCCCACCGATCATCTGCAGCTGGGCTTGGGCCTGGACTTGGGCCTGGGCATTGGAGCCGATTTCCTGGACACTGCGGAGCCGGCGGAGATGTTTCCGCCGCTGTGCTTTGACAAACTGCTGAAGTTCCGCCAGGCAGCCCCTGTGCTGCCGCAGGGCTACCTTTTCTCGCAGCTCATCGAGGACATGGACCGCCTGTGGCGTCTGCAGCTGCCGCGCGAGCAGCAGGCGGAGCTCATCCAGCAGATCTCGGAGCAACTCTCGCCCACTGGCTGTGCGGGCAGCGAGGCGGGGGCAGCTGCAGCAGCAGCAGCAGCAGGAGCTGGAGGTGGATCCCATCCAGCCACTCAGCCAGGAGCTGGTGGACGTCCTGCAGCCAGCAGCGGCGGCCGCCGCCTTTGCCTACTACACGGGCATCTCATTTGTGCGCGACTCGCAGCTGCCGCACGACTCGGAAATGGAGCAATCGGCGGCGGCCACCAAGCAGCCATCAGATGGCCTGGACAGCAGCGAGGACGACGAAGAGGATGTGGACAGTCTGCTGGAGCTGCTCGAGGGCGCCTCCACAGCGGGCAACACACTGCACGAGCTGCTGGCCCCTGGCCCCGGCCAGAGTCACAGCGAGAACAGCGACAGCGAGATGTAAGTGCAAGTCCATCCATCCATCCATCCGTGATATCCTCCCTTTCCTTTTCGTTCCTGCAGGCGCAGGCAGAAGCTTAGCAGCACTGCGGCCATCACTCAGGGCAAGTGGAGCACTCGCGATGTCCACGACACAAAGTTCAATGAGGACAAGCTCTCGATTCAGTTCCGCACAGGCAGATTGGGTGAGTGCGAGCGGCTGTGCTGCAAGGCCTATTCTCTTTCTCATGCGGGCAGCCGTCGTTTGATTTAGGGATCTTTGGCTTCGCCCTGAACAAATACAGCAACATGCCCTACCAGACCTGGGACCTGCGACCGGACATGAAAAAGCAAGTCAAGCAACAGGCCAAGGCCACAGCCCAAGGGACGGGCCCCAAAGACAGAACTAATCTGTGAAACTTTTCTTTGCAGTCCTGGCACCATCCTCTTCAGCTTCACGGCATCGCTGATCAGCCTGGACATGACCATCACCGTTGCGGGCTACACGGTGAACAATTTTCAGGGCGGCAGCACCCAGGGCCTCACCGAAATGATCGGCAAAACGCTGTCACTGGCCGAGCTGAAGGCCACACTGATCCTCTCGGCGGTGGACATTTTCCCCGACGAGGATGCCTTCTGCTATACGGAGGGCTCCTGCGAGAAGAACTATGTGATGGAGATGCACTGCTATGCCTGCCTCTCGACCCTCGCCCAATCGCACAACTTCAGCTGGTCGCGCTGGAACCTGCTGGCCGGCTCCCGCACCGCCGTTCTGCTCGTCCGCGAGCTCATCGAGGGCAAAAAGGTGCCGTACTACTCGACGTTGCTGGTGACGCCGCTCAAGACATCGATCATTGACTGCACCGAAGTATCGGCCAGCTTCAATGCGGTGGGCATTGCCGGCATGGAGTACTATGCGGATCTCTATCAGCTCAGCCAGGCCCACGCCCAGCCGGTGAGTCTCGAGAAGCAGCGCACGATGAGTCCGGTGCTCAGGGACAATGTGGCAAGGATTCTGATGGCCATACGGCCATTGAGTCTCTGTTGAGAATACAATTTCAAGAGAATATATATATGCACATAAAGGAAAATCATTGCCCGTCTGCCTTCTTCTCTTGCCACCTTCCTGCCATACGCTTATTATCAATCCGTATCGGGATTCAGGCCCCGTTCCGCCCCATCAATCTATAAGTGAATTATCATTCATTGTCAGCAGTTTAACCGCCCATACCCCCACACAGCATCAACCCCACGACACGCAGCACAATTAACATATTCACAGCGAGCGTTATCCTTTAATGCCATGCGTCAGGGTCCCTTTTAGCCATTTTTTTTTTTTTCACTTTGCCTGTCATTCCATTTTCGGCCGGGAAGAGACCGCAAAGAGAAAACGGGAAACAGGGGACAGGGGACAGCACAAAACGACGCACAACGCTGCGTATACGCAACTTGAGTGCGTGCCCAGAGGCTTAAGGAGCGAGCGCGAGACGTGTGAGATGGCTGGATGGTTGGATGTGGTGTGGGTTGTCCATTGTTCGCTTGCCATCAGCCCCCATCAGCAGGCGTGTGGGGCGCCAAGCTGTCTGCCACACAAGCGACACAACTTAAATGTCTGCCTCCTGCCCACCCCCTTGCTAGCCCCTGCCAGCCCCTGCCACAGCTGTCATTTGTTTTGTTAATGAGCAGAGTCGGCACAACCGTACCCTCAGCCCTGTCCTGTGTCTCTCTGCCCTCTCCTCAGGCATATGCATAAATAAATAATTATAACGTATTTGTCTTGCCTTGGCTGAACCAGACCCCAAATTGAATTCAATGCGAGAGTCGCATGCCCCCAGCCCCACTCTGAGAAGCGTGGCAAGGGAAAGTTTAGGTTTAGACCCAGAGCACACCCACTTTTCTTTTTATAATTGACTGAGGAATATTTCCTCACATTTGGATATCGCAATTTGTGGCTTGGCTTTGCTTATTTGAGTGCAGTCAATATTTAAGTTGTGATTAGAAATAAAGCAAAATAAACTAAAATATATTAAATAAATTTCCCATGAAATTATTACGATAAAAACCTAAGACACCAGCAAATAAGAGATATGTTTACAGTTGTTTTCAGTCCATATATACCATGTCTAAAATTTAATTTTAATTTATGTGCCAGCAGCTTTAAGGCGCAAAAATGTTCTAAATTGCGATAGCAGGAGCACACCAGTTATCTGAGGCTGCCCAATCCCTATATGCCCATGCCAAGTGCCTCCTTTTGTCGTTGCAGCGTGCGAGAGTATGTGACATATTTACTGTTGTGTGGTGTGGCGTGGCGAGGAGAGGAAGAGGAGAGGAGTGAAGTTCAGTGCCTACCGAAAAACTCTCTCATCGGATGCTGGAAAAATGTTTGCCCTTTTTGCGGTTTGTTTTGGGGGCTGTCCCTTCACCTATTTTCCATTATCACTGCCATTGGAGCTGCCCTTTTTTTTTTGTTTTTGTTGGATGGTGTTGGATTATGGTGCCCGGATGCCAAGTGCAGCGCTTTGTTTCCGCTTCCGTTTCCGTTATTCGCACCTGTCGCAATGCTTTAACCGGTTACCCGGTCGCTAGTCGCTAGTCGTTACCGTTAACCGCAACTCCCATAGCCACAAGGCGACAAGGGACCACAACAATATGTGTACATACATATGTACATAGGGTACGATGTTTGTCCATCATTCAATGCTCAACAGTACCCCGTACCCTCCATCCAGTAACAATTTTTTGTTGTTCACAATTAGTTTTCTCGTTTTCTCGTTTTTCACCCTTTCTCCCATCTGTTTTTTGACATTTTGGAATTTCTTTTTAATTGGCTGCTTGGCAGTCCGTTCGTCAAAGGATCACAGCGCACAGTTCACAGCTTAAAGTGGTGGGCGGGTGGCGTGGCCATCGAGGACCATACTGTATCAGTTTCTCCTCCGCCCACTCTTCTGGCCTGCCGCCATCTACTTATTTTGCATCATTTTAAAGCATTTTTCCCCGAATTTATCAATGCTCGTTCCTCGGCAAGAGCTCACAAATTGCGCCCTTCCCTCCCTCCTTTTTTGCTGAGCCGTGGCATTTCATTGCTTCGTTGAGCTTCCATTGACCTTCTGGCGGGGTCTTAACAGTTAAAGCCGCTTTGGAAGCACTTCAAAATGCATTGATTGCCACACAGTAACAGCAGCGAGCATCAGCAGCGAGCATCAGAGTGGGCGGACCTAGAGTCCGGTTCGATTCGATTCGGTCCATAAGTTGTGCTTATTATTGCATATTTTTGCCTGATTTAATACGTCCATTCAAGTGGGTTGCTGTTGCTCCTTTAATGATGCTGTTGTGCAGATGTTTTTCTCAAGAGCAGCAAAGTGATTCTCTAATTGGAGCTTTGCCCAGCAATTTCAATACAAAATATTGAACAAAATTCAAAGATTAAAACAATCAACAGTCATTCACTCATTTCTATGGTATTTCTATGGCATTTCTATGCAAAATACGAACTGTGTGAGCTGCATGCAACTGCCACGCGTTTTAGTTTCTGCATAAGCAAAGCTCTAATTAGAGAGCGAAATGCGATACAATTGCAGAATATGGAAGCTTACTGGCCCCAAACCACCAAAACCAACATATGGATATCCATCACAAAAATACTCGTAAATATGTACCATCATCCACTTCCCCTGCTTCCACCCACACATGGTGGATGTACACCTCCTTGGTGCATGCAAAATATTTCCATAAATTGAACATTTTCAAACAATTTGTGAAATCTTCTGGCAAATCCCTAACTGTTGCCAGTGGGTGTGTGCGTGTGTGTGTGTGTGTTTCTCTACACCTTTTTCGGTCTTTGTTTTCTGTTTTTTTTTGCACATTTTCCAACTGAAAGCAAGCCATTGCCATGGCATATACTCGTACATATGCGAGTACTTGTATTACATGTGTTAACTGACAAAACATAACTATGCAAATGTCCATTCCATCCACACACACGAGAAGCTGTGAGAGAGCCCGTGTGTGTGTGGGAGGGAGGTAGAGCATGTTTTTTCATTTGTTTTTATTTTTTTTTACTTTAATCAAGGTATCATTCAGCACTGGAATTGCTTGCTACCTGCCGCCGTCAAACAATAAATCTCTGTGTGTTCTTTAGGATTTTTTCTGTTCCCCAAAAACACATGGCTCGTTGAGAGTAGATGGGAATATACACGCTCAGTCAGTCAGGCATGATCGCTCCATTGGGGTAGTACTTATTTTTTTGTTTTTTTGTTTTTATAAATAATTATAAAATTACCTAAAAATAAAATTAGTTCCAATCTAATTGATGAACATCAGTGCCATGATGCAACTTGAAATACAATTAATATCAGGGGGGAACTATCCTTACTAATTGAACAAACACATTAAATATTCTCTTTTTAGGCTATAAAAAACAAATGTTTTAATTTTTATTAAAAAAAAATATGAGTAATAATCTATGGTTCGCATATTTTAGAACACAAATTTTTTCATTTAAGGTATTCGAAATTGCCAAAAATGATTAGGGCGCTGTGTATAAGTAAATATTTATTAACTCAACTCCCAGCTTTGATTTTTATATTTGAGCGAAAAAATAATTAATGTGAATGTAATGGAAAATATTTATTATTCGTGATTTATATAGCATTAGAAGGAAATCTCATTGAGGGAATATCTGCTCTTGCTCTGTAGATATCTGTAGTTATTCAGCAGCTGCTGCGAGTGATTTATGTTTTGATTCACTCGCATGGATGTACAATATGTATCTGCTATATATGTACTTAGATGTAGTTAAGCATATTAATGGGGTATCGCTGATTCGAGGCACTGATTTCTCTCTAGTTTTTGTTCTGTTCACAAGTGAGAGAGAGAGATAGAGAGCAGGAGTGGGGGTGCCAGGTGTGTGTGATTGTGCGAGTGAGTGCGGCTTTAATGCGTTGCTATTGTAGCACACACACACACACACACTTGGAGGTGGCAGCAGCAGCAGAAGGAAGAAGAAGAAGCTGCTGTTAAATCCGCATGCTGCGCACAAAAGTATGCTACGTAATTTAAGTTAATAGCCGCCACATAGACACAAACACACACACACACATACAGATACGTACTTATACACTTGTACACTCATGTTCGCTGTCATCCTTCGCGTCTGTTCAAATTACAATTCATTACAGGTGGCAAGAGGGAGTGAGAGTGAGAGAGAGAGCGTAGGCATTCCTGTGTGCAGGACGAGTGTGGCAGGCTGGTGGTAGTGTCGCAGAGCTGACAGCCCCGCTGGCGCTCGCTGTGACGCAAGCAAGGCTTAAAGCAGAGCCACACCAGCCGCGCCGGCAGCAGCGACTTCCGCATGCGGGCACTTGAAATGACGCCGCTGCTGCTGCTTGCTGCTGCTGCTTGCTGCTGCTGCTTGCTGCTGCTGCTTGCTGCTGCTCTCATTACAGTTTCAAAGGGCGGCGGCGGCCCTGCTCTCGTTCACACTTGGCACCTTTGACTGTAGAGACAACAACAGCAACCACGTGGTGTAGGGTAGGGTAGGGTACGGTAGGTAGCTGAAAGCCCCCGTCCTGCCAGTGGAATGAATGATAGCAGCTCCTCGACTGGCATACTCTGGCATATACTACTCGTATGTACAATATACAATTTTATTTTCCCACTGAAGGAAGGAATGATGGGCGAGCGAGGTGACACTGTCACACCAGTTGCGATCTTTTTACTCTCGTTGCCTCGATTGTGCCTCTAATTTTCAGTTTAAGTGTCAATTACAACCAACAGCAAAACAGAAACAAGAAACGCAGCAGCGTGACGTATCAAATGGCAGAAAAGAGATGGGGCATTTTATACATCTTTCTGTCTGTCTCTCTGTGTCTCTGTCTGTCTGTCTGCCTGTCTATCTGTCGTCGCTTCTACTATCCTGCCTACGTGCTCGTCATGCTGACAGCAACAGCAGCTCTTGATTCTGCTTGCTTTGATACTCTTTTGCTAATGAGGTATTTCAGTTCAGAAATCGGTTGAATTTTCCCCATAAAAATGCTGCTGCTATTTCTA